GGATAACTGAAACTAATCACATTAGTTGAGTCATTAATTTTGACTGTTGAATTAATACAGACATTATGTGTGTTGATTGTGTGTTGTTTAAATTCGAGGGAGACATTGACCAAGGTGTGGAATACTACAAGAAGGCTCTGTATTATAATTGGCACTATGCTGATGCCATGTATAATCTAGGCGTTGCATATGGGGAAATGCTGAAGTTTGACATGGTAAATTTGTAGGAAATAAAACTTTTGTGTCTCTCTGTCTCTCTGCTTTTCATGTCTTTCATTCTGAAGCAAACTTCACATGAATGAAACTGATCTCCTCAAACATTATTCTCTACTAGAAAGTACATTATCTTTATTTTATTTTTTTTCCTTTTTGCAATCATCGTTCATTTTCTTCCTTTCTATTAGTTGCTTTAATGAGAAATTTGATGCATTTCAAATCTAGAACTTGAGAATATTTATTTAATATCTGTGCAGGCAATTGTGTTTTATGAACTTGCTTTCCACTTCAATCCTCATTGTGCAGAGGCATGCAACAATTTAGGAGTGATATACAAAGACCGTGACAACCTTGATAGAGCTGTGGAGTGTTATCTGGCAAAATTATGATGCTTATGTGCAAATTTTAAGTCTCAAATCATCGTGCGCTTGATATTATAAAAATTATTTATTCTTCTGCAGTTGGCTTTATCCATCAAACCAAATTTCTCATAGTCCTTGAACAATCTTGGTGTCGTCTACACTGTCCAGGTTCAGTACCTATACCCGTTCAAAAAAATCTTTTTTTTGGAAAGGACAATATGCAGCTACTGATCGATTTTATGTTTTATTTCTTTTTACAGGGTAAAATGGATGTTGCTGCAAGCATGATTGAGAAAGCTATTGTTGCAAACCCTACATATGCGGAAGCATGTAATAACTTAGGTCTCTTTGTTTCTCTCTCTCTCACCCTGTGGTCATCATGTTTTTGGCATGCTGTTACTTCCTCTTTTTGTTAACATGGTAGTTATTGCTACTCTTTTGGTTGTCATTGATATTATTGGTGTTACTTGTCAAGGAGGATAAAAAAAGATTGTATTTGAGAATGTTGCTTCTCTGCCAAAATTCAAGGTTACATAAATGTAGTTTTCATTTGATACTGAAGTTAATGGTTTTATTTTTTATTGGGATTGCATTTCACAAACTTGAATTGGCTCTTTTATGTTGTTTTCATTTTTGGTTGAAAGGGAATTTTTGTGACACTTCTTTTGCGTTTGTTGATTTTATGGGAGAGTTATCTTTGGTGGATGGATTATAGTTGGCTTTTTGTATGGACGGTAGTCATGTTGAGGCTGACATACCTTTTGTGGAGGTTGAGGTTATGAAGATGTGTATGCCACTTCTTTCACCTGCTTCCGGAATTATCCATTTTTTGATGTCTGAAGGTCAAGCAATGCAGGTAAATTATATCATACATAGGAGGTTTTATGTTTTCTGTTCTTGGTAGTGATTAAGACCAGTCAAGTGGGGTCAGCTACATGGATCCTCTTTCCTAATGCTTACTAATATTTATGTTGGCTGAGAAGTTTTAGTAACTTTTCTTCGTCATATATAGAATGATCACGACCCGTCCAAGTTAGTGGCAGAGACTCCATGCAAGCTACTACGGTATCTGGTCTTGGACGGTAGTCATGTTGAGGCTGACATACCTTTTGTGGAGGTTGAGGTTATGAAGATGTGTATGCCACTTCTTTCACCTGCTTCCGGAATTATCCATTTTTTGATGTCTGAAGGTCAAGCAATGCAGGTAAATTATATCATACATAGGAGGTTTTATGTTTTCTGTTCTTAGTAGTGATTAAGAACCACTTGTCCTTTAGGCTGGTGAGCTTATAGCGAGGCTTGATCTAGATGATCCGTCAGCTGTAAGAAAAGCAGAACCTTTCCATGGGAGCTTTCCAATCCTGGGCCCCCCAACTGCAATATCTGAAAAAGTTCATCAGAGGTGTGCAGTTTGTATGCTGCCCAGATGATTCTTGCTGGATATGAGCATAACATTGATGAAGTAAGTATCTCTTGCTAGATCCACCGTCAATATTCAATTACTTTGGTACATAAGCTGAGTACACATAGGAAAAATCATGTTCGACGACATTTGGTGGAATTAATTAATTGTTATCATAGAGTTTCAAATCTTTTGCAGGTTGTGCAAAACTTGCTCAGTTGTCTTGACAATCCTGAGCTCCCATTCCTTCAATGGCAAGAGTGCTTGTCTGTTCTTGCAACCCGACTTCCTAAAGACCTTAGATATGAGGTAAACAAATTGGTGCTTTATTTTTTTGTTTTACACAAATAGTAGCTTTATACTTGTACTATTAACTAATTTTTCATTATGTTTTTGTCCAGCTGGAATCAAAATATAAAATGTACGAAGGTAGCGCAAGCTTTCAAAATGTTGACTTCCCTGCCAAAGTATTACGGCGTGTTCTTGAGGTTGGTTCATTCTTTCAAATTCCGCATTTGCAAAAACTGTTCTTCTTGTTCGAATGGTCATTAACTTTTGTGGTATTTACTTTTTCATTGCAGGCCCATCTAAACTCCTGCCCTGCTAATGAAAAGGGAGCCCAAGAGAGGCTTGTTGAACCTTTGATGAGCCTTGTTAAGTCCTATGAGGGTGGAAGAGAGAGTCATGCCCGTGTTATTGTTCAGGCCCATTTTGAAGAGCATCTATCCTTGTAAGTGTAGATTTACAAATTTGAACATACTAAATTCTAAATATAGAATTATTGTTTAACTACAATAATAGTGATTGCTTTGAAATTCAATTTTTGTTACCAAAAGAAAGAAAATATGGCTTCATCTTTATTGCTTCCACTCGGTAACACACTACAATAGTGATTGCCTTGTTGCTTAGATGTTCTTCATCTTTAATTCTGCTGGTCTTCTACTGATCTGCTGGTCTGCTGCTGCAGAATTTTGCTGGGCTGCTGCTGCTGCAATGTTGCTGTGACGCGGCTGCTACTAGATGCTGGTCTGCTGCAAATTTGGGTTGTTGTTAGTTTCATGATTTCATTTTGTTATCTACTATTTTTACTATGGGTTCATAATTTGGATGTATTTGAGTATTTTAGTGAGTTTATCCTTTTAGGTTTTATACAAGGCTTCCAAAAGCATATTTTTCAGCAATGTTTTTTTGCCTACACATCAACTTAAGGTGATTTAATATCAATGTTATTAGTTTGTAATAGTAGTGCCTGAGGGATGCCTCTTGTAAATATGTAAATTTTATTAAAAAAATATGTGATTTTCAATTTTTTTTGCCGCTACAAATTTGTCGTTGCCAAAACTAAAGCTTTATCGACAACCAAATCGTTGGCAAATGGCAACATTTACCGACATAAATGTGTCGCTAAAAGTTACTTTTGCCCACTCATATTGTGTTGGTAGAAGTGTATAAATTGCCAATGCCAATTTGTCGTTGCCAAAAGTAAAGCTTTAGTGACAAACAAATCGTCGGCAAATGGCAACATTTACCTACGTAAATGTGTCGCCAAAAGTTTACTTTTGCCGACGCATATGTTGTTGGTGAAAGTATATTTTTTGCCCATGCAAATTTGTGTCGCGAAAAGTGCCACACAATCATCATATTTGAATGACTTTTACCAACGCAAGGTAAATTGCCGACGATGGATGGAGGCTTTTATCGACGATTATGTTCGTCGCTAAAGGCATTACTTTTACCAACGCAATGATAATTTCGTCGGTAAAAACTTTTGCCAACGTAGCTTTGTGTGTCGGCAAAACTCTTTGCCAACGAATTTTCCCTTTTAGCAACATATTTTGTTGCGTTGCGAAAAATGCAATTTCTTGTAGTGTATTATTCAATGATTATTATTATTTAATGATTACCCAGAGAGAAATAATTAGGTTTAGGAACAAAATTGAATTCTTATACAATAACAGATCTATTAAAGATTTTTATACAAAAACAGATCTGTTAAATAAAATTGAACAGAATTGAATTCTTATACAATAACAGATCTGTTAAATAATTATTCAATGATCTGTTAAAGATTTTTATACATTGAATGATCTGTTAAACATTAGAACAAAAATGATAAACATAGCATATTTTGTGACTGAAAAATAATAGACCCAAAAAGTTACATTAGTAATAAAACATAGAAGACATACTGATGGAGAAAAAAGTGAAAAGGCAGTTATGTTCACGGAAATAATCATAGAAAGTTATAATTAATACATGTATAAAGTAACCATTAGAATTACTTATGGATGTGTTGGATTAATGATGTATGTGGTTTACTGTATAATGACTTGGATGTTGCTTTAAATGAGAACTCATTCTCGATGCGCTCTAGACTCATTTCAATCCATAAATTTGAGCTTAGTTATTCCATAAATTTTATTACTAGTATTAATTATTTATTTTTTTCCTTTTGTTATTTAACAGGAATTCAAGTTGAAGGAGATGATGGAACTTGTGTGGTTTGTATGAGTATTGGAGAAACAATGGGTTTGATTTTTTATATATTTTTTTAATTTCAATTTTTGGGTAACCTATCCTTTGCGGGTTGTGCTTGGGATTGATTATTCTCTTTGCTACTTGTTGAATTTTCTTGTGTGTGTGGGTTGTTGGACAGATGTTTTGTTGTTTGTGCTATTTTGTTTAGGAGATATTGATTTGAATAAGATGCTGCTAGAAACTGCTGTACATGTTCTTGGCAAATATGTTGATGCTTATAAAATTTGTATAGGATGGACAGATTTATTGAATTTGTTTATATGTGGATTTATTGAATACGTGGATGCTGGAAACTGCTATACATGTTCTTGGAAAATATGTTGATGTTTATAGAATTTGTATAGGATGGACAGATTTATTGAATTTGTTTATATGTGGATTTATTGAATATGTGGACAGAATTTGTTTATAGCACCTGTCTTGGCAAATAGCACCTGTCCAAATAGCAGCCTGGATATGTTGACAAATATATTTATTAGGATGTTTACAGATTTTTATAGTTTAAAAAAAAAAAAAACCAACCGGCGATTTTTCGGGGTCGAGGATCCCCGATCGGGGGCGGGGATGGGGTCGGGCTATGGGTCCCTGTCGGGGATCGGGGGCGGGGACGGGGCATATATCACTTTCGGGGATTGGGGACGGGGAGTGTAGTCCCCGGCCCCGCCCTGCCCTGCCCCGTTGCCATTCCTAGAGAAGACGTTTATCACCCCAAAAGGGCTGTCTTGCTACAGAGTGATGCCTTTTGGGTTGAAGAACGCAGGAGCAACTTACCAGAGATTGGTAACCAAGATGTTCAAACATCTAATTGGCAGAACAGTAGAAGTCTACATCGACGACATGGTCGTGAAGACCAAATAACCTGAGGGTCATCTGGCCGATCTAAAAGCAGTCTTTGACATCTTTAAAACATATCGGCTCCAACCCAATGCATCGAAGTGTGCATTCAGAGTTGGATCTGATAAGTTCTTGGAATACCTAGTGACCAGAAGGGGCATTGAGGCCAGCCCAGATCTGATCAAGGCCATCCTTGAGTTGAAGAGCCCGACGTCGGCAAAACAAGTGCAGATGCTGACTGGCAGGGCTGCAGCCCTGAACAGGTTCATAAGCAGGAGCTCTAACAAATGCAAACCCTTCTTTAACTTAATAAAGAAGGCCATAAACTTCTTATGGACAGAGGAGTGTGAAGTCGCCCTGGCCGACTTAAAGAAGTATTTGATCACGGCTCTAGTTCTCTCAAATCCAGAACTTGGAGAGGAGCTGTTCCTATACTTAGCAGTTTCAGAACACGCGGTAAGCGCAGTGGTAATCCGAGAAGAAAAAGGGGAGCAAAGGGCTATTTACTATGTAAACAAAACCTTGGCTGATGTAGAAACCAAGTATTTACCCCTAGAGAAGTTGGCACTGGCATTAGTAATGGCTTCAAAGAAACTAAACCATTATTTTTAAGCACACAGAATTGTGGT